TTAACATCACAAACTTCTCTGCATGGTTCGATTCGGGTTTGGATTCGCATCTAATAAACTCATAGCCTCACTGAAATAAAAGGTGCGAAAATAAATACATCTGAAAGGAGTTTTGTCAAACGGGGTTGCCAAGAATAAAAACCTAACAGTCTTGATAGGACAAATCACCCTTAGGCACGAGTTAGGCCACTGTCTGTGTGTGTGTGTGTGAATTGAGGATCTGCATCAGTTACAATGATTGGATTGCATTATGTTATAATCTGGGTTTTTGTGATGATTATTGTACATTTATACTCTAGAAATCATTTGTAGTGATTAAATCTTAATTGCTAACTGTTATGCTACTTTGTGGTGGTTGGGAGTTAGGACATCAGTTGCTAATTATGATGACATACTCTATATTCGGTTTAAATAGTTTTCTTCTGGTGCCAAAGTATCTAGACATGATTAATGGAGTACCCTTTTTCAACACGTGGCTCTTGCTCCTGTGTCATGTGTCCTGTTATCATGGTATGTGCCTGAGATTCTGATCAAACTTTGCCGTAGTCTTCATGATCTGTAAATGGTGGGAATTCCATAATGTTAACAATCAAATATTGAAATCGTTTTCAACCAAGGGATTTACCAAAACAAAAAGGTTGCAATCTGCCAAGTATATACTGTTAAGTTATTAAACCTACTTGCCTTCATGTGCAAATATTTTTCTTTTTTTCTTTCCTTTTTCTTTTTAATAGAACTCAGACCTTAGTTTTGAGAAGAAGTCTAGGGTCAGTTGGGATGAGTCTTTTCCAAGTCGAAACAACAGTTGCATATCCATAAAACACAACAGCTCAGGACAGTTTTTGTTTTAATTTTGTTTCCATGTAATTGTAATATGTCACATGTTCACTTTCTTCACAGGACCTACGAAGTGGCAGTCAAGCTTTGAGTCACAGTCCAAGTTTCAGCTCGAAAGCCTCGAATGCAAGTGATAGTGATCACCCACGTAGAAAAGTTGAACCTGGATATTCCTTTGTGGGGATGCATTGCATCTTTGACCAATGCAAGGCCATGGGTAACTTTCTAGATTGTTTTCATGTCCATTTTCCATCATTTTTCATAGTAGCATGTTTCTTTGTTTCATCACAGTGATTAACCTTGCAGTTTTGTTTCAGTTACAGTTGTGAAGTTTGGGCAAATGAGTTCTGATCTACTTGCATATGGGGCATCAGATGGTACCTTGACTGTATGCACTGTCTCCGATCCACCTGCAGTTCTCAACCAGTTAATAGGGCATTCAAAAGATGTCACAGGTTGGATTAACTGGTATTGATTCTGTAGGCTTTTCTTAATTCTTATGGTGATGTTTGCTGTATCTGTAGTTTGCTCTTGGCCAAGTTTCTGAAATATATCTATTATAACTTCTTGATTGTTGTGTCCAATAAAATTATCCTTAGATACTTATGTGATCATGGTGAAACACTAGACAGATAGGAGTACTAGGTCTGAGCACTGTTTTCTGTTCTGTAGTTACACTATGCTGTTCAGATTTTGCAGCCTTCTTCTTTTAACTTTTATTTGAAATATGTCAATTTAATGTAATTTTCAAGTACAAATAATGTAAATTACCTTAAATACTCTAATGATGTTTGGTGAAATGTATTATACATGGGAGTGCTAGGTCTCTTCCCTTTCTTGTGTTCCTTATTTCACTTTGCTGTTGCCAGCTAAAGTTTGCTTGTTTATTTGAAAAATCTAGAGAGAGAAAAAAAAAATTAGTAGTTAAGTTTGACCTTATGCCTTATGGTATAAAATTGGCGATATAAAATTGAGCCTATCTACAACTTATAGAATGTGATAACAAGAGTTTTTATGCATTTCCACTAAATAAATCCAAACTAATCTAACCTATTTTAGACATTTACACTATGCTGTTCCTATTTTGCAGCTCTACTTCTTCTTTAACTTTTATTTGAAATGTCGATTTGATGTAATTTTCAAGTACAAATAATGTAAATTACCTTAAATACTCTAATGATGTTTGGTGAAATGTATTATACATGGGAGTGCTAGGTATCATCCCTTTCTTGTGTTCCTTATATCACTTTGCTGTTGCCAACTAAAGTTTGCTTGTTTATTTGAAAAATCTAGAGAAAAAAAAAAATAGCAGTTAAGTTTGACCTTACGCCTTATGGTATAAAATTGAGCCTATCTGCAACTTATAGAATGTGGTAACAAAAGTTTTTAGACATTTCCACTAAATCAATCGAATCTAATCTAACCTTGGGCACATATATATAGGGAAGGATTAGATGATATGTATGATCATGTTTAAAGTTTTGTTACACAGGTAGAGTTTTTGGCTCCCCAAATTATGGATACAACTGAAACAAGTTGAGAAACGAACAACATGAAAAGTCTCGCAAATAGATATCATGGAAAAATATTGGCTAATTATTGCATGCTAAGCATGTTTGAGGTAGTAGCCATATGGCAAGATAATGATTTAACTCAAAGAAATGTTTTATTAGGGGTGTACATCAGTCTGTTTGATTTGGGTTAGAGCCAAACCCACAACTAAATAGAACTTGGTTGGTTCCTAATATTTGGACCTAGAGCCAAACTGACCAATTTGTGGATGGAACGAAATCAACCCAACTGGTTGACCAGATGTGTCTAATTATTTATACAAGGCTTCTGATTTTGATTAGAACTATTTTACCATCACCATTCGTATTGTTTGTGTCCTAATGCTAGTCCTTTTCAGATTTTGACTTCACATCGAACAATCAATATATTGCATCATCTTCAATGGATAAAACTGTGAGAATATGGGAGATATCCAAAGGCCTTTGCATTCGGGTGATATATGCAGTCTCTCCTCAACTTTGTATTCGATTCCATCCTGTAAGTAAACACTAGCTCGCATGATCTTCCTCATTTAAAACAGTTTAACTGCTGCATCTAAATATCTTCTTTGACATCTATGCAAATTCTTGGATTGTCTTAAAAATTCTATACAATTTTAGCTATTTTTTGACTTCCAAGTTTTTTCCTCAAATCCTTGTTTGGCAACCTGCAGTTTTAGCCAAAAATCCAAAAAGTCACTATAAGTTGTTACATCACTCTCTCTACTTTTCTGCATATCTTTTCGTAAAAAGTCAAAAAATTACTAAAATAGCATATTCCCAACAATTTTAATTTCTCCTTTATCTTTTTCCACTGAAAGGGTTTCCTTTTTCAATATCTATGATTAGCTTGGTAGGTTATATGTCATTTTCTTTATGAAAGTATACTTGATAATGTTTTTAATACTTGATAATTTTTTTAATCAAGTAAAATTTAAACCATATCTGGACTTAATGCTTTTATTAAAAAATTAATTCGTTTTCGTATGTCAGTTTCACTAAATTGGTCATTAACTTTTGCTTTTCGTCTGTCATATTTTGTGCAGGTGAATAACAACTTCCTTTCCGTTGGCAATGCAAACAAAGAAATCACTGTAATATTTGCACACCACATCTTTATGAAAATTGCATGATAGTTTCTGGAATGTCATTTAAGTGAAACTTAGATTTTCAACTTTTTTCTATTTTTCTCTTTTGTTTTTCTGTTGGTATAGTAAGAGTCCCTCACTCTCTCTCTCTCTCTCTCTCTCTCTATATATATATATATATATATATAGAAACATAAAAATTAAGAATATATATGCATACCCTCCTCGTAGCACCCCAACCAATGACCTGAAATGGGCCACCTGAGATGCTCACTTAACTGAACAAAACATAGAAGAGAAACAAAACCAATCCATCTCATTCCAGTGAAAATAAAAGTGAGACCTACCTTTAGCTTTATGGGCCATACATGATGGGAGCCACCCCTTGAATCCCATGAGTGGGATCAAAGCGTTGTGTAAAACTAAGTGCTACATCATGCACCACATGAGGATGTGTGGTTTTGCGGAGGGGTGTGTAAGATACTAATAGTAGCCACTTCTGGCAGTTTTCATCAGACTCTATTCATTCAATCTACCTGTCTCATAGGTAGCATTTCTACATTTGATATTCCAGGTGTTCAATTTCAGCACTGGGAGAGTAATTAATAAAACTGTCTTTGACAATGAGGTTACTGCTATGGACCATGATCACACTGGTCAGCTTATTTTCTGTGGGGACGCTCAGGTTTGCTTGTTTTACATTCATTTTGTCATCTTATTTGTCTGGTGAACTCTGATATCTCGTCTTAAAAATCGTCCAAACTGGTAAATTGTACAGGGATGTGTATACACAGTTTCTATGAACTCACACACAGGTGTATTGTCCCGGTCTCATCGCAATCGAAATGGAAGCAAGCGCAAATCTCCTGTCACAACTGTGCAGTATAGAACCTTTTCTCTGCTGGCACGAGGCCCTGTGTTGCTGACATTTACTCGAGATGGAAGTTTATCTTTTTTTAGGTTTGATTGTCAACTCTCTCTCTCTCTCTCTCTCTCTGGTCTTAGTTGTGAAGCATTGATGAGGAAGTCGCATTTTGGATTTTGTAGTGTTTCGTTGGAGATACAAGGTTATTTGACTCTTCGATGCTCACTAAAATTGGCTCCACGACTACACAGTATCCGAGCTTCCTTCTGCCCTCTGCTTTCCCTTGAAAAAGGAGAATTCATAGGTTTGTAAGTCAATTTTGAAGTCAGTAGTTCTACTCTCTTAACTGTTTCACATTGAAGGACCCTTTTTCTAATGTGGGCCGATTTAGACTTATCAGTAAAACATGAAAGAATCTAACAGAACCAATCTATCTCCACTGCTGCTTACTAATTTGCTTATTCGGTCATTGTCCATTATGTTTGGATTAAATGAACACTTGAATCTCTCTCTCTCTCATTTTAAAAAACTTGCAACTCAATGGTTGCCTACCAGAAATTTGAGCATAAATGTATACACTTGAATAGTTTTTTAAAGAAGCTCAAGAGGAAACATGGCCCTGGGATGCAAGAGCTGTGAGAGGATCTGACTGCTGTTTTCGGATAGCCTCAGTAAAACATGAAAGAGTCTAACAGAGCCAATCTATCTCCACTGCTGCTTACTAATTTGCTTATTCGGTCATTGTCCATTATGTTTGGATTAAATGAACACTTGAATCTCTCTCTCTCTCTCTCTCTCTCTCTCATTTTAAAAAACTTGCAACTCAATAGCTGCCTACCAGAAATTTGAGCATAAATGTATACGCTTGGAATAGATTTTTAAAGAAGCTCAAGAGGAAACATGGCCCTGGGATGCAAGAGCTGTGAGAGGATCTGACTGCTGTTTTCGGATAGCCGTCTCTCAGGATAGATGTGGCTTCTCCTGCTTTGGGGAGATTTTCCCGTTGTAATCTTGTTTGTTCTGATAGATCCATCTAGAATTTCTACTTTAGAAATATTACCAATCCTGAAATCTGTGAGCTTGCTTCTGTTTTCATTACCCTCTCGATTTTCATCCGTTTATGTTTCATTCATGGTTGGGAGATGAAGTGTGCCATGGTCTTGTCTCAAAAAAAAAATCTCAAAATTTTGATTGAAATGTTGTCAAGAGGAGAAATTATATAAAATGATCAGTATATATGATTATTGGAAAGCTTAGCCTGAAATTGATGTTGTCTGGTCAGTTTTATCGCTTACAAATTTCATAATTCTCATTTCTTTTGCAATTTTATGGAATAGTTATGATTATTGATCTTCTTGACATCATGATCTGTTTTGTGCATGTAGTTGTTGGAAGTGAGGATGCAAACGTCTATTTCTATGACTTAACACGGCCAAGGCATGCATGTGTAAACAAGCTGCAGGTCCCTTATTCACTACCAAACCGAGTTTTAATGATTGACAACATTTACAATTTCTTCTATTCTTTTTTTTTTTTCTCCAATGATTATTAAGACATTTATGATTGCAGGGACATGGCTATCCCGTTATAGGTATTGCTTGGAACCACGGAGAGAACTTGTTGGCTTCGTCTGATTTTGGTGGCACAGTTATCATATGGAAGAGAGCTAAGACGGGTTGAGAGAAAATCGATTTCAGAGGTAAAAGCTTGAAATCAAACTAATGGAATGTCAAAGGAACTTTAATTTTGTTTGCATGAATTTGCCATTTTTTGTGGAAATGGGAACAAATTTGTGTTATACAAGAATTTTACTGTTAAATTGTATCGGACTGTTTAGGAAGCTGAACAATCGCGATTTGAATTTAATTCTTTGTATTTTTGCATTTACAACTCGATCAGGACTTGAAATCAATTCTTTGTAAAATTTGTGTACACTCAGATACAATTGATCAGTTCAAGGTAGTTTATAATAATATTTAATTGCATACAAATTTATAAATAACATGATAAATAGACAAGTGAAACAGGCCTATTTTGATTAGTTTTCGTTTTTTATGTGTTTTTTTGAAAACAATAAATGGAAAGTTCAAAAGCATTTGTAGTTTTCATTCAGTTCTTGATTTTTATGCAAAAACATTTTTTGAAATTTAAATATTTTTGGTGCTTCCTAAGAATATCTTCATTTGGCAAAACAAGGTTTATTTTATTTTCCAGGAAATATAAACAGAAAATGAAAATGATACTACAAGCCTGATTTTCCAGTCAAATAAAGCATCAAGCAAAGACCTCTTTATCTATTGCTGCTAAGTTAAATTATTTGATATGAGATACACAGAAAACCCCTAGTAGTGAAACATAATACCCCAGAAACAAAGAATCTACATTTAATAATTACAACCAACCAAACACACCCTCAACTTTTTGGAAGGAAAACCCTGAACCGAACAAATGTACATAACAAGAGTTTTTTGCTTGTGACGCAGACAACATTTGCCTATGTGTTTTTTGCTTGAAGCCTTACTTAGCTCCCCAACAACTCCTTCAATTTATGTCTACCTCACGATGTGGTGTTTTATGTCGTATCACCTCCGACGGCGCTTTGTATCCACCTGGGAATACCCATATCAAACATGAATGTTATGCAGTAGTAGTAATATTTGAATGATAATGACTGAGCATATGACTTGACACATTATTGAACTTGTTTTGGCACAAATTTGAAAATACACAGTATATTATTATTGCTACTAAGATTGAACCATATGCATAAACGAGATGTATGAGCTCAACACCTAGTCCAATTTGATGACCTGATAGAAGCAATGCAGTTTGCAGGGTTACCTGCAGAGAGTGAGGAATTAGATTCCCCATTCTTCATTCAGATGGCCTGGATATAAATCCAGAAGCATTTTCCCCACCACACAGAATGCCATCCTCAACAGAAAATGAATGCCTAACAACAATAGTGCTAAAGACTATATATATGTATTAAAAAAAAAAAAATATTTGGCAGAATTTTGATGTTTTTAGTAATACAAGATCGTTGTTCAATTCTTTCCAAGTAATTGGATCCTTCTCTCGTTCAAGAATCTACGCCCTTCTTCCGCTCCAAGTTTTGAGTAACTACAACCAATTTAAGACGATATTTTGGATGATTTAAAAAAGTATACTTTTTGACTTTTTAAGTGATGTGAACCAAATAAGTGCACTTATATAGGTTACGCCAAACACCCCCTAAACCACCTTTTCATGTTCCAAATGGCCAACAAATGAGCTAACAAGAATGTAAATGAGGAAAGATTACTTGGGAAGAACAACAGAGATGAGCAGCTACAAACACGAAGGAAAAACCACAAAAGCAAGGGTGAGGAATTTCCATTAATGTTTGTGAGAAAGTAGCTTCACAGTTGACAAATTGACGAATCCACCCAATGACAATTTGGCATACCCACCGTGGGAAAAGTCTCAAAATTTGACTTCAATACTCGAAAGGAAAAAAAGGAGAAATTTGGGGATAATTAGCATGCCTCGTGAAGCCGAAGGGCATATGCCCATGCCCTCAACACCAACATAAGCCCATAACAATGACAAAAGCCTCCAGATCTTGATGAATTTGCAATGCTGTCACTTTTAAGCAGAGCTTGAAGGATTCTCTCAAAATCAGCAACTCATATAACTAGAGTCCTAGCCATTCTCAATTTTCCAAAACAACAGTATCCATTAGAAATTTCAGTGAGTATGCAAGCAATTATTATTGCTTCATCTATTGATTTCTGAAACTTCAGTTCTTCATTCTTGAGCAGAATAATTAGGTGATTCCTTGTGTCAATTGCTTTCTCGCATATGCCTTTTCTATGTTCTATCATTATCTTCTTCCAAGAACCCACAGTGCCAGCTTGCAAATACAAGAAAATGGCTTCTTCCTTTCTTTCAAACGAATATTAGCATGATCTTTTGGCACTATAGACTATTTTACCCCCTCATTAAAGGGTCAGAGATTAGAGTGCAGCTTATATTAAATAAAGAAGAGTCTTTTTTTAAGATGGTATTGACCCATGTGAACATGCAACAATCTGGTAAAGCAGCCTTGTCTCCTAAGACATATGACTAGAATAACTTTCAGCTTTGGAGAGAGAGAGAGAGAGAGCGCAATGATAAACAAAAATTGTCAACAAACTTGGATCAAGTTAACATTTTTAATGTTAGTACAAGAGAGATCACTAAGGTTCTTCCTTTAATCCAACATGACAAAGCCAACGTTACAAAAGAAATAATAAGAAAAACAAAATTATCAAAGCCTTAAGTCCCAACTACTTAGGGTCAACTACATGAATCATTTCTACTGACAACACATTAGCTTTTGCCTTTATTGTTTCCAGTCCAACCATTAGGCCATTAAGGCCATCGCTTAAGGCCTCACTTTCCTGAAAGGTCCCCAATAGTAAAGCCTCATAAAAATCTCCTTGGTCCAAATGCCCTCGATAGTAGCAAAGTTTTTAAAGGAGAATGCTTAATGTGAGGTGTAAGCCTTAAGCCATTGAGGCATAAGCATTTTAAATTCTGAAATTTTATATTTAGTAAATAATTTAAATATTTTAAAACAACAAATAAATACATCAAAATTACTTTTTATGTTTAAATCATCTACTAGACTAAGTTTGACAAGAACCTATGACAAACTCTTCGTATGCGTACTCCTCGCATGTTTATGTGTAAAAAGCATACACAATGCACCTAAGGCGCATGTCTCAGACTGTGTGCGCAAGCCTTTGGGGAGTAAAGCTTAAAAATCAAAGTCTTTAGACGTTTTGCCTTAACCTTGCCTCAAAGTGAGCATCGAGACAAGCCTCAGTAAAGCTTTTTAAAACTTTGGATAGTACAGGCTTAAAAAGAACACTTCTTAGTTCAAAGGCCCAATAAATTAGCCAAAAAGCCAACAACCCATACCAAAAAGTCAAAGATTCTCTTTTCTCTCTACTTTTTGCACATCTTTTCGTAATTAGTCAAAAAGTCATCCCAAACATACAAGTTTTTTTTACCTACATTTTTAGTCAAATAGCCAAAAAGTTACTAAATTAGCCTGTTCCCAAACGAGGCCTTAGTAAACTAATGCCTCTCATCGAGATTTCTCCTAAGGCCTCATTGAGGGTTGGGGCAGCCCCAATAACACACATGACACTTAAATCAAGCCATTCTTATTTTAAAAGGCAATAATCATCTCTACACCTGAACCATTTTAGACAACTTCCTCTCTAACTCTAGCTTCTCATGAATGGATTTGTTTTTAAATTTCTCTTTTTCTTGCATTGCCATACTGTTTGCACCATAAATTACTTCTTGTCGATTTAAGCCATGAGAGATTATATAACCACATCTATTATTAGTTTTTTATTATTATTGGTATTATTAGTGCATGACAGCACTCCCTTGATCCCTTGGAGGTTAGGAGAAGTTGTGAGAGAAGTTATGAAGATTGAAGGGATGGAAGACAAGTGGCAATCCAAGAATGCAATGGAGAATTTAGGAAATTAGTAGTTATTTGGGTGGTGGTTAGTAGTAGTTCTATTGTAAGATCTCCAACAAATCAAATACATAACTTGATTTCTATTTCTTTTATATCCTAGGAGTAGATCTACTTAGATAGGAGTAGTTTTTTTTTTTTGGATCAACAACAAAGAACTTTATTGATAAATCAAAAAAGGAAGCGAGGAAGAGACATCCTCTTCCAAAAGGACAATGAGAATACCAAGAGCAAAACCCTAACAAGATAATTTCAAGAAAAAGCCTATATATCACACACCGGCAACCAATCTCTATCCAACAAAAAAAGTGAGACCCCCTTAAATAGAGAATTCCCCGAAACCCAAAAAGAAACTAAGTGAGACCCCCCTAAAGCTACTTAGATAGGAGTAATTTTAATGTACTGTACTTGTAATTGATTGTTTATTCAATCATTTTACTTCATCATCTTCTTCTCTCTTACTCTATTATATTTTATTTTTGCTTGCCATTACCTTCAAGACATAAAACCTCAACACAATTGCACGATCATTGTGTTGTTTGGTGAAATTTGTGTTAAGGCTATGTCGATCTAAGCTTAACGGAAACTTTACCAACACATACGTTAAGCCAAATGACGTGTACTCAACGCTGGATGTGATGATGTAGATGCGCAATAAGGGCACAAGCTAGTTTTTAAAGTGAAACTTCCCTATTAAAGACCAGTGTGTCCTGACAGGAAGCTATTATATTGCTCACTTTACCTTAACGTCCATGAAATCAAACCCATCTTTAAGAAGAATCACGACACATGACAAAATTAGAGCCCTTTTATTTATTTAAACTACCACTGCGGCAGCCATGTGTAGACCTTTCTATTCAATGGGCACATTTAGACATAGCATTTGATTTACAAAAAGAAATGCAAGTCAGCTTCTTAAAAATATATATATATATATATAACCCCAAGATCTAGAAGAACATTGAAAAAGAGAGCAAATACCTTGGTATCTGAATGCCGGGAAGTAGCATGAGAATTCTGTAACTTCTTTTGATCTTCAGAAGAACAATTTTGGCAGAAGAAGTGATCAAGTCTTTTGGCTTCCTCTGGGGTCATTTCTATACAAGTTGGGTGGAACCTGAAGTAAAAGCAATATGCCGAAGATTGCACTGGTTTAAAATCTATAGCTCACAACATATTCTCACAAATTGGATACATTTGATGGGAACCATATAACAACGGACAAATGTCACGTGGCAGTTATGCCCTAATGGTAGCTCCAAAACTGGGCTCAAGTCAACCGAGATGCAAATAAAGTGCATCCTAGAGGGTTTTTCAAATATAAATGTATATTGACATTTTATTCACACAAATCACAACTACAACTCAAATATGAACTAAATAGTATTCTGCCACAAAGTTCTATTTTAAATCATTTTTGTTTTACTTTCCATTTCCATTTCCATTTTTTCACCAGGAACAACCTCATATCTTTAGCTTATAGTTATGGCCTGCCTATTAAAATGTTTTATATTAAGATTTTACTCACGTTAAAAGATGGGAAGTGTATTTACTTGCAGTAGAAGACCTGCCTCCTTAAATGATTAAGGAATAATTGTCTGTTATTATCCTTGATGCATACAAATACTGCCACTAAAAACATCAGTTTTTGTAAACTAGTTTCTTGATCCATGAACCATCCAGAGCAAAAGTGTGAACTGAGGATCTATAAAGCCCAAATATTGACACACCTAAATAAAAGGAACATTCTAATCGACAACCTTTAATTTCTTGAATGAATAACCAAAACTGTCGGGAGGCATATAAAGTGCACGAAACACACATAGGAACATGGAAATTAACTATGAAGCAACATATGCACTAGGACCAGTTCTTGTTTTAACATGAATTCTCCCCTTAAATTCAAATGTTTCCTATTTTTGAACGAATAACTTTTTAAATAGTTGACTGAAATTGAATGCATTTACAAGGTCTCACCATTGGAACTGTATAACAAAAGGATAATTTTATCTTCCAGTTTCATTTTGTTTATAGGGCAGCTTCTTCTTTATATATATATAACAAACTACAACTTAATAAGGTGTCACTAAGGCTACTTTTAACAATCATAAGGTGCAAATCCACACCAAGAATTCAAAAAAAATTTAGCTGGTATGAAGTGGTTGTGAAACCACTAACCAAGTAGGTCTGGTGAGTCAGCTGGTAATCAGTTTATCCCTTAACCCATATATCTCAATCCCCTGAATGCTGATCAGTGGGTGGTGTGCCAAAATTGACTTAATTCAAAAAAACACTGGACTGAAAGGATATCAAGACTGGAAATATTTAACTTGTTTAAAAGATTTGACCATTTAATTCTATTAAGGTAAAACAACCTTCCATTCTTCTACTTTGTTCGTCATGGATAAATTTCAACAATTCGGATTATCCAATTCAGTCCAAGCCAATATTTGGCTGACTATAAATAATAAATGCAGGGAGGCAGGTTTTTACACAAAACTAAATAGGTTTTGCACTTAGATTCTTTGTATGTTTTCTAAGCATGCAAGTTTGGATACAATATTAAGATCACAAACGTTGTTGAACCCTACCTTAAACATGCATCTTATAGGTTTAGCATAAACACAATAATAAAAACATTCCATTTGCTTAATTTTCAGCCTTCTTTTCTTTTGTTAGTAGTAAATACTAAATAGTAAGAATTGAACCCTAGATCCAATCCCTTCTCTACTGGTATATTTTAAGTTAAATCACAGCTTTGGCAGTTCAGTGCTAACTAAGGTTGCAATTATTGAAAATTTCATCTGATCTTACAACTATAAAACCAAACTAAGAAAATAACACAGAGAGAGCAAATAGGGGCAGAAAAAGTTGATAATGGGAAAACTTATGATGAGAGAGTTCTATAAAGAGAATTTTGTATACTATTAGACGAAGTTATATATCCTTTCTCATTTAGGGAGAGCCCCACATCAGTATACTTTTTTCTAAGTAAATTGTGATCCAGTAACCACCTCCTGCACTTTTATCAACTGTTCTGGTGTGTAAACCTAACCCCATAAAACCCCAAACAATGGATGCGTAATTTTGTTACCAATGGCAATAACTCACACATATCCCGTTGCTGAAATATAATAATGACAAACTGACAATAAGAGGACGAGTTTACTGCAATGACACAGAACATTGAAACCAACTTACTGAAATAATAAATCTGAAAGCAACCAACTTACCAATCAGTGCAGCCTTCACACTGGACCATTAGATCGTCGGGGTTGTAAGGCATCTCACACTTACAATACCTACAATAATAAGACAAACCAGATTATTGACACACATTCGAAGAAATTAATAAATTCAAAAAAAGCAACTCAAAAAGTAGTTTATATGTGTACTCAAGACAAGACACCGAATTCAATATGTAACTAATATCTACTTACAAAGGCCACCTAAGACCATCTTCAACCCTTCGCCAAGTTTTGCTATCAAATCTAATTTCAATTAAAGCCTGAATTGATATGAACTACTCTAATCATTTCATCAAATTTTCATCAAAATCTTTTTAAAAATTCATCTCTTATCCCAAGTTTTTCCCCTTTCATCAAATTTGATGATGAAAAAACAAAAATCATCTCCACTGCTTTGTCTTTTAAATTTTCATCAAATTCAAATTTGATGAATTCTCAATTTGATGGAAAAAAATGACTCCCTTGATTTACTGAACATTTGATGAAAGGATTGGAAATGATTTTTTAAAAGGTGAAGGATTGGAGATGTTCTAATTAATCATCCCACGGCAGTTAATTGCACCAAATTCACATATTGAGAAGTATAAATAGACAAAATAAACTAATATACCAGTTTCAAGATGTGAAACAAGGAAACCCTAATCCTGTACTGGCAGTCAGTCAAATTCACTCACTGACTTTCAATTTGAATTCAGAGTTGATATATCAATAACCTAAATTTGCCCCTAAACAGTCAGTCAAATTCACAAATTAACTTTCAATTTGAATTCAGAGTTGATATATCAATAACCTAATCTTGCCCCTAAACCCTCCAAATCTTATCAATTAAAATTCAATCAACCAATAAACAAGAACTCTGAATATCATTTCACATTCAGGACACAATCAAAACATCAAATTAAACTGCAAATTGATCAAATTATTCGAAATTAAATGAATCAACATCACATACACGGCCACTCTATCAGGATTGAATGCCCCGGTGGACGAATTGTACTCGAAACGACAGAAGAAATCGTCGTTGCCAACAGCATCAAGCTTCGTGTAGCTCTTGAATGTGTGAACCGTACACTTTCCTTCAATCGTATCAGCGCTCTGCACATCGTAGTGATCGGAGAGGAACAACTCCTTGGAGCCGTGAAACTGGCGGCGGCCGCCGATCGACTCCTCCGGCCGGTAGTACCACCGCACCTGAACCCTAACGTTGCCGCCTCTGCTGTCGGACTCGATCTGCTCAACTCTCGCCACGTACGAAAGCTTCGATGAGTCGGAAGGTCTCATCAAAACGCAATCGCCAGCTAGCGAGGGCGGCGGGTGAAGTCAGAGAGAATTGTCCGGGAAAATGAGATTTTCCGGGAAAGTGTGAGAGGGAACAGAGAGAGGAGAGAAAGAGAAGCTTACCTTTGATGGTTTTGTTGATGCCTTTGACGGAGTATGAGTCAAGGATTCGTCTCGTAGCCCGGGCTTTCGCCATGGACCGATTGAAGATTACAAACACATGCACAGACAGACAATCGAGAAAGAGAGAGAGACTGAGAGAGAGAGATTAAAAGAGTGAGATTAATGACGATTTTTTTTTTAAAAAAAAAATTATTAATTTTCAGAGAGATGAAGACTGATATGGTGTTTCGCGGTGTTATGGTTGAGTCGCTCTGTCGAGGGATCAGTGTATAGTACAAAGAAGTGTACTTGGTTTTAGTTTTCTCAATCTAATTTTTTAAAAATAGAGTATTTTATTTTTTGTATTTTTTTTGTTTTTATGAATATTTTTAAAATTTTATGTAATTTTTTACTTTTTTAAATGTATGTTACTTAAATATATCTAAATAGTAAATTATTTGTAAAAAAATACTTTAAAAAATTAATAAATATACAAAAATACAAAAAAAAAATGTAATGAATTTTTATTTTATTTTATTTTTTTTATATTTTTGGTATTTAGTCAATTTTTTATAGATTATTTTCACAAATATTATACTTTATAAGTATATTTATATTAGATATATCTAAAAATTAAAAAAATTACTTAAAATATTAAAAACATTAAGTGAAAAAAAAATTTAAGTGAAAGTAAAAAATATGAAAAACGAAAAAGTATAATTTTTTGAAAAGTGAATTCTGTGATCGCTCCCTTTGAAAATTTGGTTATTTTACTTATGTTTTTTACTATTTAATTATTGGGCAAATTATATTAATGGTTTATATAGTTTGAGATTTGTGTCACTTTAATTCCTAACTTTTCAATTGTAATATATTTGATTATAAATTTTGAATCTCATTTTAAATAAAAATAATAAAAAATACCATTACTTAATTTCAAGAGCAAAATGGTCAATTTGATAAAAATATAAACTAATTTGATAAAAATGAATGTCAAAAAAATATTTTTTTTAAAAATTATTTCAACCTAGTAAACATTAAAATTAATAAATCTTTAAGACATTTATTTATTTTTTTTACCAAATTAATTTTTATTATGTGTTTAGATGATAATCATGTAATGAGTGGATGTTGTGATTTTAATGTGCAATCGAATATTTAATATATAAAATATTTTTAGTTTTGGATTTTTTATTTAATGGATTGATTTAATAATAATATCAAAATTATCGTCATATTGGACTTTTAAAAAAATATAAACTAATTTAATGAAAATAAAAACAACCACTGATTACATGATCATCATCTAAACACATAATAAAAATTAATTTGTTAAGATAAGTAAATAAATAAATGTCTAAAAGATTTATCAATTTTTTTAAAATTTTATCTTTAGTGGGTAGAAATAATTTTTTAAAATTCAAATATTTTTTTAATATTTATTTTTGTCAAATTAGTTTATATTTTACCAAATTAAAGATTTGGCCCTTGAAATTAAGCAATGATATCTTCAATTATCTTTATTTGGAACAAGATTTAAAATTCAGGATCAAATATGTCACAATTGAAAAGTCAGGGACCAAAGTGATACAAGTCCCAAACTATAGAGACCGTTAGTGTAATTCGCCAAAAAAAACAAAAACAAAAAACAATTCATTACTATGGGAAAATTCTATTTCCACACACCAAATTATTGCTGTGTACATATTTTCTCAATCTACACATTTATTAACTTGATTTTTACTTCTTTATCTCAGTCTATACACTTCACCTTCCAAATATATTTTCATATTCTCTGTGCACATCCTCTTTTATAATAATTAATTTTTTAAATATGTGTGATATCTCATATATGATATTATAATGAGTATGAACTAATGTGAAATGTCAAGTGAAAAAGAGTTTGGGCTACATCTCGACAGTGATTCAACAACGAGTTATAATATAGACCAACCATGGGGACAAGGTTGTGGGAATATTGCATGAAACAGGTTCTAAAGAACTTGTAATCGTATGCCATGGATTTAGATCCTCAAAGGTTGGTAATTGTAATTGGAGCTGTGTTTTGATTTGACAGATAATATGAATAGCAACTGTTGGTGGTGTTGTTTTATTTTTATTTTTAATGATTGTCCTTTGTTATGATTTTCAGGATCGCATTCCTATGGTAATATTTGCGGCTGTTCTAGGGAAGCAGGAATTAGTTCCGCTTTGACTTTGCTGGCAATGGGTAAGTTGTTGGAAGTGAAATCCAATAGAATTATGAAAAAATTGTGAGATGTGTGGGTGAGATAGTGATGGGTGAGATGGTAATTTTGTTAAAAGATAAAATTGTGATTCTGAAAAAATTTATTAAGTATGTGAAGTAAGGAAATTTGGTGTGTGGAAATAAAATTTATCATTACTATGGCCTTGTTTGAAAGACTTTTTTTTTTATTTTTTTATTTTTTTATACTTTTAGGGTAAAATTTACAAAAAGTAAAAAAGAAAATAAGTTAAAATAGTTAATAAAAAAATATCACATCAAATTCATAATCATTTCACTTTTTCTCTCACAAATATAGTATCACATTCAATTACAAAAAAATTTAACCATCTTTCTAAACACAAATATTTTAGTCTACTAAAATAGCTTACAAAAATAACTAACTTTCCAAACGAGACCTATGTAAACAAATTCATCATTTTAAAAAAAATTTAGGATTCGTTTAGGATGTGGATTGACTCTTTGGTTATTTTAGGTTCAGACTAAAAAATCTCGTTTAGGATTAACTTTTTGCTTTTTTGATTCTTGTAAGAGAAAAAAATGAAATGATTATGATTTTAGTGTTATATTTTATTTTATTGGCCCTATTTTGTCTTTTTGTGACTATTTTCGTCTCATAATCTTATGCCAAATGAATGCTTAATAATTTTATTAAATGTATTAAACTAAAAAGTCATTAACAAATTTATATTTATATATATATATATATATTAGGAGTTGTTTAGGATGACCTAAATAAGTGTATTTTTTATCTTTTTACGAAAAGATGTGCAGAAAAGTAGAGAGGTGATGTGATGAAAAAAGATTAAAAAGATAAAAAGTGTGTACATTTAGGACATCTCAAACAACTCTTAAATATATTTATTTGCCTCACTTATTCTTTAAACATGGATGGTTAGATGTTACAGCTGATGAATAAATATATATATATATATATATATTTGCATAAGGCTACATTTTGTTTCTAGTAAGGTCACAGCTCGTTAGATGTTATACTTTCTTTTATAATAACTTCTACTAGCCCCGTTCATTTGTCTTGTTCAGTTAGGCCTTCTGTAATCGTGGATTACTGGCCGATTACGACACTAAACCTATAGGGGCGGGTTTAGGTCGTGACAGTTGCGTTTGGAAAAGTAAACTAAGAAGTTTTTTAGTGTTTTTGTGCGTTACATTAAAGTGTGTTACATTGGAATGTTATATTTGGAATTATATTGATTGAAGTGTTACATTTGGAAAAAAAAATACACTAAGAATATTTTTGTGTGTTACATTAGAGTGTTACGTTTGGAAAAAGTACATTAAGAATTTTTTTTGGAGTGTTATGTGGCCCTGCTTGGCAAGTTGGGTTTTAGCTTTTATTGGGCTAAAATCCACAAAAAGACAAAATAACTAATAAGACAAAATGTTACGTCAAATCCATAATCATTTCATTTTTTCTCTTATAAACATTACAACCAACTACAAGAAATTCAACCATCTATTCAAACACAAAATTTTAGCCTATTAAAATAGCCAGAAATTAAAATAGCCTACTAAAATAGCCAATTTACCAAACGAGGCCGTTGTTAGTTTGAGAAAAGTACACTAAGAAGTTTTTTAGTGTATTACATTGGAGTGTTACGTTTTCGTTTTTAATGTTAGATTTGTTCTAGAATGAGAAAAAATCTAAAATCTCTAAAGTGCGGATTACCCAAATGTATAATTTCACATTTGGAGAAACCCACTTTTCTCCCTCAAAAATTAAACTCAAACGTGTAAGTGACTACTCTTTTGTATAATTTCAACTTTAATGAGACCTTTGGGTTCATAAGAAAAAAGGGAGAACTAAATAGTTTATAAGATCGCATTTTAAAATTATTGGTACTTCACTTTTAATTTTTTAGTTAATTTTGTTAAATAAAAATATTATGATAAGTGGGTATTTGTAATTTTCAATCCATAAGAGACAATTTCTATTTTAAACAAATCTCAAGAGGTGTACTTGTAATTTACCTAATGATTTATAAATTAGATTATGTAAATAAATTTGCACTTTCATCATTTTAAAATTATTTTCTTATTTTTTATTTTTATTTTTGAAATTCTCTCAATAATTTACTCTTGAAATAAATTAATTTTTTAATTTGTTATTTTTTCAAATATTTTTTTATTCTTCTTACCCAATGGAGCAAGTAATTTATGAATATATATATATATATATATTTGGTTGGAATAGAGCCAAAAGGAGATATAGGGTTGTGTAGATAGTGAATTTTGTTGAAAAATAATGGTTTTCGGTAACTTTAATTTGAAATTAAAGTAGGACTCAATCGCCGGTCGAGGTAGGTCTGAATAGCTTTGTATTCTCTCAAGTGAGAAAATTACAATATAAAAATGATGGGTCGAAACCATTGAGTTGTGATTAAGAATTGTCTTATAAAGTGGGTATCAATAGAAGTTGGGCTTATGTCACGACCCGTTCCCCGTACCCAAGAATTAAGTATCGTGATAGCCAGTAACTGAAGTTACCTATGGCCAATTCTTGAACAAATAATAAACCCAAGTGGAAATAATATTTAAGTGAGGGTACCCAAAATAATTATCGGAACTTCAAAATTTAATAAACAAAAATATCGATATTTACATATGAAGAATAGAATTATAAATACTATAAAAGTGCTATATGTGTCTATTCCACAGCCCTGCGTCTAAGACTCTCCAAAAGCCATTTCTGAATTGCATTGTCTCCTGAAAATTGGTAAACAACTGTAAGCACATGGCAGAGTGAGAAATATTATACCGATAGTATAATTACCACGGATAAGCTTTAAGCTTAAAATAAATAAAATAGAATACTTTTCTATTAGAGTAAATAAGTTGTTCATATTATAACAGAAATCCGTTTTAGAAATCATATGATATTATACAAAAATATATAACTATAACCA